ACAGTACTTGTGGCCAGATACAGTCAATATTTCCCTGTATTGGGGATACCCCAATAACAGTGTTATTCGCTCTTGCTTGGCATTATTCAGGGCCTTTACCATCTGCATGAGACCAGAGTAGGGTGTGTGCAGCCTCGACAATTCTTTCCTCTCATTAGAAGTTCGTTTGGGCTCGGAGATTCCGGCCAGAGAACAGGGGTGAGGTCCCACTTGCTCAGTTTATTGATTTGATAGTGCTGATCTTCATAATGGAGGGTCAGAAACAGATAATCCGGACACTGAAAGACCTCATCCTCCTGGCCAAGGAGTTATTGATTTGATTGCCCAAATGATGTACTCGAACTCCACTTTCCTTACGAAAATGAAAACAAAAAAGACTCAAAAGGCGCTAAAAGCTCCAATCAAATAAAAGAAAATGGCTTAAGAGTGGTGAAGAGGGTGCACACTGAAAGACCTCATCCTCCTGGCCAAGGAGTTAGAAGGGTCCCACCAACAATCAGGAATCTTTCCAGGTGGTCTTCATAAAAAATCATACCACAGAACGGTGAGATTATCCCGCTTGCCTAGCCTAGGTACTCCTGCTGGGGAGACTCTCTGATATTGGGCCTGTTGGGGGGCTGCTCAGCCTTGGTGCTTGTCACTGCTGTCTGGTTCAAGTTGCCCTCGATATAGGTAGGGTGATGGCCCTGAGTGCTGGGGGTCACATCGAGGTAAGATAGTACGGATAGGGGGTGCGCTGGGAGAATTAACGTGGGGAAGGGTCGCGAAGGTGGCCTATCCTGTCAGGACAACCATCGGCTGCTGCTGCCAGCGATCACCAAGGATCTGGACCTTGGCCTCTACAACAGCCTGGGCTTTGAAAAAAAGGCAAAAAAAGAAAGAACAGATGGTTTCCCCAGACCCGGACATCCAGACACCGGACAACAGGCCCAGACCCGTGTCTGGATTAATCCGGACATCCGGTAATCCGGACACCGATCCGGACAACCAGACATACGGAACCAGACGGTCCGGTTATGAATGAACAGGTCCGGATGTCCGGAAAACACACACACACACACACACACACACACACACACACACATACACACACACACACACACACGCTGCTGTAGTTATATTATCCGACTTATTTTGAACACACGTACATTACACACACAGTGTCGTGCACACACACACACACACACACACAGACCACTTTTCTCAGGGGTGTCGCTAACTCTGGGCGATGTCGTGAGTCCTTATCCATCAGTCAAATGAATCCTGGGCAGACTGTCGGGGTTCAACCTCCTGATGAGTCAGTGAAAGTCCAACAAAACAGTCTGGCACAGTCATGGTTTTTTTGAGTGCATAACGAATATGATAACACACACACACACACACACGCAACCAATTCTCCTTGGCCCGCTGAAGCTCACCCAAGATTGCAAGTACAGGCCCTTCAGGGCCGGTCCGGTTGGCCCAACGGTGCACCAAAAACTGCACCAACAATTTTCGGGGGTCCACCAGGCACTAGAAAATCGCCTGGGGACCCCAATTTTTTTATTTTTTTTTTTCTCGAAATGGGGCCCAACTGGACCCCTCAAACCGGACACAAAATCAGGACATCCAGACCGGACCGTCTGCATCCCGATCCGGACGTCCGGCTGACAAGAAAGATTATCCCTTAGAAGAAAACCTGATCAAGGTAGGGGCTTCTACAAATTGAACACATCCTTGTTAGAAATATCCCAATCCTTTGTGCTTGACTCAGGAATAAACAGGAAGAGTCTTCGATATGTTTGATTTGACAGTTGTCTTGTTTAATAATGAGCTGTCTTTTTTGGCACAGTAATCTAGGGTATCCTCACTTAATTGGGCGGCTATTGAAAATCAACAAGAAACACCCTCCTCCAGCCCCTTCAATGTCAGGAAAACACCCATGTGGAAAATTCCGGAGGCTGACCTGTCACAGCTAAGGGCCGATGTATCAGCATATCTGTGGAGGGATGACCACGAACAAGCCAGGTGCCTAAAACGGGTGGCTTGGAGTTTTTTTGTACGTCACTCAATCTAAGAATAAGGGTGCCTTGGGGATCATAGAACTGGCCGACCGGAATAAACTTCAAAAAAGCGTTAATTGTCCGATGAGATGAGAATAAACTTAAATAAAGTGTTAATTTTTTTAAGTGATCATACGAATGATTTTGGCCAATGATGCCCCATGGATCCCCACTAGCCTACATCAAGATCGCAAACTTGGCGCCCGTCCCCCCGGCACAACTTTTTGGCCCCGTGGGCCCGCTGCAGTGGCTTACTAACCCCGAGTGGACAGTTCCATGACCCCCTCGAACCAAAGGGGGACGGGTCAACACAAAATCCAACAAGGTGGGGACCTTAAAAATGACCCCCGCTGTGGATGGGCCCCACGAAAAAGTCCCCTTCGGCTAGGTGGCACAAAGTGTGCTGTCAGCCCCTCTTCGGCAATTTGTGACGCACGAGCATGAGCTTTTACGTACACGCACCCGTTTCTGAACGCCTATTCTTTTTGCTGTTTCTAAAGGGGTTGTACTCTATGTTTCGGGTGTGTTCTCGGGATTCCGACGTGATTCTTCGGACTTGGGTTTTATCAGTGGAAAGCGTGCGCCGGTTAATCCATTTTTTGAATTTTTTCCTTTCTTTTTGCAATTTCCGGAATTGCCCTCGCGATTTGTGCAAGTTTTGCGATAGGAATTACACACGCCTTAGCGAGCGCGCTCGATTGAATGCCCAGGCCCTCCATTTGAATATAATGAGCAAGCGTTCTATTGGAATATTATGTCCGGGCGTTCTATATTCGAATATGATGTTTGGGCATTCTATTCAAATAGAACGTCCGAGCATTCAGTCCTAAGTTCTAATAGAACATCCAAGCATTCTATTCCAAGGGTCGTCACATTAAACAAAAACTGAGTAAACAAATATACGGGACTTCTTTAGGGTAAAACCTTAAAAGTTGAATATAATGCCTGGGTGTTATTTTTAGCTTGAGGTGGTAGAGGCCTTGCAGAAGGGCTTTTTCTTTATTGGAAAAAAAAAAAAAAAAAAAAAAACTGTCAGCGGATGGGGCTGAGATAAGTGGAGAGGTAGGACTTTTTTTTATTAAAAAAAAAAAAAAACCCTATCAGGGGATGGGGCTGGGATAAGTGGAGACGTGGTGCTGCAGTACCAGTCAGAAGGCACCCGAATTTGCAAAATCCCTACTCATACTAGCCTACTAGGGTCACATTTAGGTTATTCGATGAAACACCTCTTTGGCCAAAAGAAGGGGGGGAAAAAGCCAACAGCCTTGAGATAATAATCATAATATCATTGAACTGACCAGCCCCCAGCTCATTCAAAATCCATTCATCTCGTTCCATCTGGCTTCAAACTCAGGTCTGCTTTTTTTTTTTTTTTTTTTTTTTTTTTTCACAAAGTTATCCAACCCCTTCATATTCTGGGGGGAACCAGTACGGTTACTAATCACCGGCAAGCATGGAAAAAACAAGGATTAGGGGCGAGATCCCATTGGCAATAGTACGTGTCTGAATGTGGACGTATTTTTGGACAGGTACAAAAATTTGTGATTGATCTACTTCTCCGCACCTCTGCATGGAACACGTCCAGATTCAGACACTTCTTGCAATCCTCTTTGCCAGTGGGATCTGGCCCTAAGATGAACCGAGAACCATAACCTTTTCAGAGGTATATGGACTGAGCTAGGCCCATCCGTAGAACTCGTTCATCTAGAAATAGTTCTTTTGGCTACCGTCTTCACCCGAATAGAACGCCCCGTCATTATAGCTGTACAAGGTGCAACTTTCAGTCTAGATACACTGATAATGACCGGGCGTGCGTTATTCTCGGGTAAAGACGGGGTAGGGTTCTGCTCTTTTGGAATCTTTACTACTGTTTGGTGAACGACGTGGCTGTATGAAAATCGCACTGAGGTCACTGAAGAAGAGTCATACCCCAGAGCACAGAGGCCACTGAAGAAGAAGAAAGAGCAGCCACTCGAGTATCTGTAGAGTCGAAGAGCACCAGTACCTCGCCCAGCTATTGAAGCCGAGCCTGACAATGCCCTGCGCGCCCAAAAAAGGCGAACCGGCGCGGGCCTCATTTTGGCTGGCACCGCCAGCCATTTTGGTCCACTGCCCTGACCCCTAAGAGTTGCGGCCCTACTGGTGGTTTGACGCAGGGCAATCAATGTTACCTCGGTATCTGAGTTTTCGGTATCTCTGTCTAAACATTCAATGAGGGAGGTCCATGAAAAGAAAAAAAAAACGATTTTTATCATTTTTTATTTTTTTTGCCATGGCTTACATAATACAAATTGTCATGCTGCCAGGATAACTCCGCGTGTAATTGTGAGGTCTCCAGCCTCCAATTTCAATATATTAATAAAATGCCGGTTTTTTTTTTTTTGGGGGGGGGGGGGGCGAAATGTCACTAGAGATCACATGTGTATCCACAGCAAGGCCATAGATGTGGACACGTCCAGTGGGTGTTGTACTTTAGATTGTTGTTTGCATCATTCATTTATACCCCAATACTGTTGGAAAAGTGTTCCAGGTCTGTATTTCGACAGTCGTTGGGTGTACCAACTGAGCTAAGCCCGGTTTCTTTTTTTTTTCCTCGTTTTTTGCTTCCTTTTCTTTATATATACAGAACTGTCCCGTGAACCATAGGCAGAGAGGGAGAACAGGACAACAAACGAGGGGCTGTGACAGACTGTTTCATCAGAGTTTCACTGATTCGTCAGGAGGCTGAACCCTCTACAGTCTGCAGACTCCCCTGGCGATGATACGGAAGCTTCGGAAAGTGATAATCCACCTTAACCCCAGTTGCGGTTAAGCATCAACGACTGCCCGACAACTGATAGCCTGAGGTGGGCACATCGTCATAGAGAACTGCCCGGTAAACTGTAGGCAGAGAGGGGAAAGAGGACAAGAAACGAGGGGCGGTGACAGATAGTTTCCTCGGAGTTTCTCCGACCGACTGATCAGGACACTTGCAGAGCTTCATCAACAGACTCATCAGGAGGCTGAGGCCTCTACAGTCTCCAGAGTCCCCTCACTGATGATAATGTCAGTGATAATCATCCGCCTTAACTGCAGTTGAGGTTATGCATGAACGACTGCACAACATGTACATCTTGAAAGACCACAGATCAGGTATTAAACTATCAGAGCGGATACTGATCTTAGCCAAAAGCCTGAGAAATGTTATTATAATGTCTTGGCATTGACAGTAGAAACACAGAATGTTTGGGAGGCGAAAGGTGTGGCACTGAAAACATACTTGATCGCCGTTAAGAGACCAAAACACACACACACACACACACACACACACACACACACACACACACACGTCATCAGACTCTCATACTAGTAGTAAGGTATTGTTCTCTCTTTACAGGCTAATAAAGGAGATTTACAACTCTGCTGTCCTCCCGAAACGGCAGTCCTGCTCGAGCTCCCATGGCCCGACACTTGGCGGAAGCCACTGTGGCAGCAAGCGTCAGCGTGCTGGACGCCGACATACCTGCACACAGAGCATATAGAACAGCACCAATAAATGCATCTCCAGCACCTGTCGTGTCTACAATCTCTTCTGGTGTCATCATGACTGCAGTCCCATAGATCAATGTGCCAAAAACACCGGTCCTTTCTGCCTGAGTTTCCGATGAATGTGGTGAGGAGGGCATCAGCCGGCCAACTGTCGAGGAAACAACTACCGGCAGTGGTTGTGAGGACTGTTCCGCTCTTCGCTTCTGCGCTAAGTCCTTCAACTCGTCCAGCGTTTTCCCAATGTCAAGCTCTGGTACACCCGGCATAGTGGCTCCTGAGTTGTTGTTGTTGTCCGATTCTCTGCGAAGCATTACACAGCCATCAGCTCCCAAGGTGACGATGACAAACTGCAAACCCGGGAGTTTGATCATCATCTGCAGCAGAGCATCGGGTAACGTCGTCTCGCCAGTCCAATGCTGGGGAAACTTTGCAGCAGCAACAATATACGTTGCGGACGACAAGAGCTCGTCCAACCCGTCTCGCCGTTTCTCCGCATCAACAAGAATCGGCAAGCCACGTGCCTCAGCCTCCTTCGCAAGCTTGATAGCTGTCTCCCAAAGCCTCACGTCAAAGTAGACAATGCTCGCATCAGCCAAAACGGATGATATTGCTTCGTCTGTGAGCTCCTCTGGCCGCATTGCCGGAGATCCCGGGGTGTGAATGCAAGTCCTTGTCTTTGTTTCCTTGTCGACAATGATGTAAGTGAAAGGAGACACCCCACCTTCGGAGACCACAACATGCTTCGTGTCGACACCGTCATTTTCTAGTTCTTCGAGAATGAGCTTCCCTGTGGAGTCATCGGCTACCTTTGACAAGATGTGTGGTTTCAAGCCCAGCCGAGCTGCTGCTGTCAGTGCGTTTCCTGCATTCCCACCGCCTTGACTCGCAAAATCCTCGGTCCGGATTTTGTCGTCTGGATTTGGATACTTCGCAACACTCGCAAGGTAATCGATTCCCACCGACCCACAGCCGACCACTACGCGCTTTTCAGGCAAAGGTGGCATCTTGTCTCGTTGGCCCGTAGCGGAGTCGACACCAGAGTCTTGCTGGACGCTCGACTTGCTCGTACTGTGCAACGCCGATATTCGTCCTAACATCCTCCCGGTTTCAGCGGAGCGATGGCGCGTCCGTGCGGCAGCTGATCCACTTGCCCTTCTGTTGAACACAATTTCCAAGGTCTGAATCGTATTCGCAATCTGTCGGCGGCAAATTTGCACGTGCACCGCACCGTGCCTTCTGCTCCTTTCACAACGCCTGCTCTTGAGAGGACAACTGCTCGACGAGCTGGTGGCGGTCCAGAAAAAATTGGAACACGGGAAGGGAACCAGTCTCGTTTGCGCGACGATCCCTAAGGGCCTGCCCAACAACCTGGTCCCCCAATCAGGGCACGATATACGAGCGGGTCGCACTTGCGTCAGAACCTCCGAACACATCATCTCCATCACCCGTGGTCCACGTAGGATCCACTCAGATGGATGATGGCGCAAGACGAAATGCTACGCTCTTCTAGTTTCCAGTTATTCTGGAAAAGCGAATTCCTCCAGAAAAGACAAACAGCCCATGTGGTGGCGGAATGATACACCCATGCATGAGCTGTTCTGGATCAACAGACCTCAGTTCGAATCCTGGTGATAGGATCAGACAAATGAATGAAATAAGGGTCTCGTCGCACACACCTTGAATGAAGCTGAGTTTTATTTGGCACCTTAAATGAACTTAATTGAAGTTAATTTTTATTTGTACCAATTTCATTTTTTTTCACCAACGGGCCTAGCCCAGTTGGTGCACCCATGCGCTGTTGAAATGTAGACCCGAGTTTGAATCCAGATGCTGTCAGATGAACAGAATGAGATAATTATGAGTTACCTGGGGCCGGTCAGTTCAATGATGATATCTCAAGGCTGTCCCCCTTTTAAATTCAAAGATAAAATAAAATAACTTTTAATTTTTAAACCACCACTATCTTTCACAGGCAAAGTCTAAATCGAAAATATAAACCGAACCACATTCCCCGGAGGCCAGGCGCCACCGGACCAAAATGGCTGGCGGCCCATCCGTACGAAATGAAAAAAGGTTGTGTTGGCGCTTCGGCAAAGCTTGGCGCGCAGTTCTACTCCCAACTCCGCACAAAGAGGCTCGGAGGTAGTGGCGGTTAAAAATTGCATTGGCGCTTCACCAAAGCTTCGCGTGCAGTTCTACTCCACCTCGGCAAAAAGAGGCCCCGAGGTAGTGGTAGTTAAGTATCGTTCTTCCCGACCTCTGGCTTAAATATTCACTAACCCGGTTTGTGATCACATACGGCTCTTAAAGTTTGCTCTGCAGTTCACATCCTAAAGCAGGTTGGGAAGGGAAAATAAAATTAAAAAAATCGCAGAGTTTCGGCCAATCCACCTCCAAGCAGGTGGGCAGCCTGACACCACGAATAGGGGGACATCATTTTTGGTCCCTAAACCACCAGTACATGGCCCCAACCAACTTGAGAATCACGATTGAATCATTCCTAAATTTTCTGGGGCTTGGGGAAGGCTGAGCAAAGGGGGAGGAAGACGGTAATCCCAAGGAGAAGGGGCAAATGGACTCCAAGATGTCCTGCTGGTTTATGCCGTGCACATATTTCCGCTTGCACGGCTCGTTCTGATGTGACTCCCCATGAGAGGCAGGGAGTGATCCATTCCCTGTCAGCAGCTTCCATCTCAGGGCATTCTCATGTCAGCATTTTCCGGACTGTATCCGACCGCAGTTACGGCCAGCTCCCTGGATGAATCTGAAGGCAATCACATTCAGAGCTAAGTATGCCCTTTCTTCTGTTTATGACTTCTTTTTGCTGTTGTTTAATAAGAGACAGACATGACTCCCCTGAGAGGCGGAGAACAATAGATTCCCTGTCAGGGCATTTTCACGCTAGCACTTCCCTGAATGTATCTGACCGCAATTACGGCCAGGTCTGGGGTGGCACATGAGTGAAAACTAGACAGCCTCCTTTTTGTTCCATCTGCTGCCAGCAGGTCCAGCACAGAGGGCGGTGCCAATACCACCCTCAATTTTCCCAGGGGCAGCACCTGTTGCTTCCACACTTGGCAAAATTCAAATTTAGGCTCGTACAATCAGGCTTGGATGTACTGGTGGTCTAAACCACCAGTACTTCCAAGCCACTATTGCCCGGGGCTCCAAAGGCCCTGCGCGTGGGCCTCCTTTTGACTGGCGTGGAAGGCGTGTCAGAGATGGCAGATGTCGGATGTTTGAATCCGAGATACGAAAAACAAGATGATGTAGGATGGCAGATGTCGAGTGTCGACGCTATGACAAGTGGATAAGGGGATCTGAAACTTGGAAAGGAAGTGTGCCGATTTGGTAAGGGGGGAAAGTTGGGGCAAAAGGAGAGGTTGGCAATGCGGAAGGGCAGGCGATGATGTCCCAAGTGTGTTTCTTAGCTGAGGGCCGGTACTATCTTCTCTGCCACTTTTTTACCGAAGGTTACGTGTCGGGTGAGCGTGACGACGTGGCAGAGGTTTGAATCCGAGATACGAAAAAGAAGATGATGTAGGATGGCAGATGTCGAGTGTCGGCGGTATGACAAGTGGATAAGGGGATCTGAAACTTGGAAAGGAAGTGTGCCGATTTGGTAAGGGGGGAAAGTTGCGGCAAAAGGAGAGGATTGGAATGCGGAAGGGCAGGTGATGATGTCCCAAGTGCGTTTCTTAGCTGACGGCCGGTACTATCTTCTCCGCCACTTTTTTACCAACGGTTACGTGTCGGGTGAGCGTGACGACGTGGCAGGTAGTGTCGAGCGGGATATTATGACATAGTGAGACAATGCATGCGTAAGGCAAATCACACACAGGAGGATGATAAGACGGGGGTTGAGGCTGGTTTGGTTAAAGCGAGGGGTATGAGCACAGAGAGTGGGTGAAGTTGACCCCGTGTAGTGCGTGGACTTTTGGTTGAATCTTTGATGTGATTGCAGGTATGTTTGCGGTTCGGACTTTGTATTTGACTGCCTGTGATTACATATATATATGGTAGAGGGGAGTTTCACTGTGATCGTGAGAAGTGATCGCTTCGTACTTATAACCCTTTATATGTATATATTTTATATATATATATATATATATATATATATACTCTCTCTCTGCCTACGGTTTACCAAGCAGTTCTATTTGTGACGATATATCGTCACAAACAGAACTGCCCGGTAAACCGTAGGCAAAGAGAGAGAAGAGGACAGCAAACGAGGGGTTGTGACAAACTGTTTCGTCGAAGTTTCACCGACTCATCAGGAGGCTGAACCCTCAATAGTCTGCAGAATCCCCTCACTGATTACACTGTAAATGATAATCTACCTTAACCAAAATCAAAGTAGACTATCACTCACCCACACCAGATGGAAAA